GGAATATGTATGAACAAATAGACCGCACATAATGCTGTGTTAAAGGATATTTGCTTGCATTAAATAAGACCTCTCCGTTTCTTGTAGTCTTCTAGATTTAAAGATCTCCGAGGTGCATTCTGCTTATTGTGGTTCGTTGCTTTCGGAGTCGCCGATGCCGGACGATTATCTGTGAAAATATAATACAGAATGAAGTATTGTTTCCATTGTGTTTTCTTTAACCCATTGAGTGACAGCAGTCTCCTCTTCATCAGTAAAATTGTCTGCTGTTAGACAGAGTAAAATAATAAAGTGGGCGCATCAGGGTGCATTGCCACTTGAAGGGTAAAATGGAACACATATGTGAAGGAGAGAAATTGGGTGCCTTTACATGGTAAATTGCTAAAGCATTACAAACAATATATAGAAGAAACTATGATAAACTAGGACTATTACAGATTATTATTTGTGGAATGATTTATAATAGACTAATACAATATTAAGAAGAATTAAGAGGAAAGAAAGAAGACAAGTATGCTATTATTACAACCTTTGCTAATCCGCATTCCTGGTTTCAATGTATTTAAGTCTTTGCTTGAAACATGAATAAACAAGTTTTGAAAGTTTGGTTATGATTTCACTATCAGTTGACTTCATTAGGTCTGCTGATAGAGTTTGAGAGTTTAGATTAATCTCGTCAGATGAAGCATTCTCTAATGAACTTCGAAGGTTTGCACGAGATTGCTCATAGGCTTTGCAAGAGAGGAGATGGGTTTCATTTTCATGAGACCAAGGCCAAGTCTTACCTGGCAATGGGAAGTCAAGTTCAATTTTGATGTCGAAGTCATGTGCATTAAAAAGATCTTCGTTTTCTGTTGTTAGAGAAGGTCTTCTATTGTGATCTTTTGACGTGTCTGTTGAGTCCAGGCTCTAAAATTAAAATGTTACAACGTTAATGTAGCATGCATTGTCAAACGCTTGTCTTTCACACCAGAGCTGTCCTGATATTGTATCTATAGCTACACTGGAACCAACCTTTCAAGATTTAATTCCTAACGTACCTGATCTCCCGCCATTGGTGTTTGACTGGCCTGAAGAAAATTTAATATGGTGATAAAAATGTTATACATATACTGTTGGACATGTTCAAATCAAAATGATTTCTCTATGTTAATGTGGGTATATCAACATACCCCAGGTATATTGACATGAATATTGTCTGCTGCAGCTTCCTCTTGAAGTCGACGGATTTGTTCTGGAGTAAAATCTGGACCTTTATTGATCTGCAGGTTAAAAAGGAAAATGAAAAAAAAATCTAATTAACAATCGCCGTTTTGATTGATTGTTATTTTCGTGCATCCAAATCACTGTCCACTTTTTACTGACTTCAGCAGCGGGCTCTATTCCAAGGATAGAGCCTGACACACAGACTGACTCTGTTCATTTTCGCCCAAGTCTGTGGACCACACTATATTAAGACCAACCTTGGCAACAAGTTGAGGTAATGTTTTCCTTCTTGTGAATGGATCAGCTTTCTTTTCGTCAGTCTTTGCCTCTTCCTAAAAATAATTTAGAATGACAATGTATTCCATGCATTAAAATACACAAAGTATCTAGAGGATTGGCTGTCTTCAATAAAAGAACTCACCACAATTGCTTTCTCAGCTTCTACAATATTCTTCTTACGATTTCTTTCGTTAATGTAACTGAAATATTAAAGATACAAAAAATTATATCTTTGTAGCATTTCCTTGCCCCAGAGTGGGGAAAGGCTGGCAGATATTTTATCTGTTGCACAATACAGTGTTGAAGGAGCTTCAAAAATACCATTCAGGTGTGTGTAGATCATTTACCTGATAGCACTAAGTCCTCTACTTCTCATTTTATCCAACTCTTGTGCTCTTTCTTCTAGTTCCTCCAGTTCACTTTGAAGTGTTTGAGATTCGTCTAGATTCCCTTGTTGCTCAGCTATTTCCTTCATAATAACACACAAAGAATTAATAAAAAAAAAATTGTCAAATGTTTAGAAGTTTGTGACTTGGTGGTCAAATGGAAATAAGAAAAGCAACTCTCATTCTCATTTGACCAGGGCTTGAGAAACACTATGAATAGCGTTTGAACATTTAAGTGATAAAATTGTTTGCAATGGTTGAGATATTTTAAGGGCAGACAGATGTTTTCAATGCAATGTTAATATAATTTACCTTTGATCTGAGTAGTTGATTTTTCTTCATAGCATAATTAAATGGCGTTTTTCTAAACTTTGTTTTCTCTGCAACAATCTATAAAACATAACAATTCATGGAATAAATGACATCCCAAGTGATTGAAACTGCTGCAAAACAGGTGCTGTACAGGAAGATATTACTTAGGCTCCAGCCATTGCCAAAGTCACCAGTGGCTCAAATTAAGATGAATGACAAGAAACAGGAAACACAACAATATGAACATTCTAATTTGTTATCAGAATCTCCATAGTACCTTGTCCACATCATTGTCTTGGTAACTATAGTTCTTGCTGTTCTGTAATTCTTGTAGTTTATTGTCAACCTCGTCCATTGTTGGAACAGGAATGTCATTCGATTCCATCTGCCAAAGAAACAAAAATCATGATGTTGATGATTTTCACAAATGGAAATTTTGACTGAAAAATCATATTCATGCACTTCTGCAAGAACGCCTTTAGGAGGATTTCCACTTACAGAGGAAAATTTCCTCATGGATATATATAGCTAGAAATCAGTTCTACTTGACTGCTCACAATTCAAAAGAAATTGAATAAAAAATTTCAACAGTGAAGTAGCAGCACTTTCCCTTTGACAAATAAAGCCATCTTGTGTTAGACAGAGTAAAATATTAGAGTAGCCAAGTAGGGTGCATAATATTAATTTAAAGGGTTAGCTAGAATATCAAATTATACCAAAAAATATGACCACAGAAGAATGTTAATACCTCTGCTACCCAGCGTGTAAATTCTGTGTCTGTAAAGCCTTGGTTAGAAACAAACTCCAAACGAAACACTCTTTCCTGTTTACCATGTCTATATAACATATAAATATAATGAATCAGCCAAAAAATCAATTGAAGCTCCTCACAGGTACAGTGAGTCAGAGTTCTTACTTGAGCCTCAGTCCTTTATTTGTTCTTGTGCTTCCTAAGCTATATACTTTGGCTGTTTCCACAACTCCCATGATTTGTGCTACCTGTGATAAAAAAATGAAGTCAAATGAAACAGGACAAATGTTTGAAAAAAATTGAATAACATAAAATGTATATAAGGTGTAGAATAAAATATGGTACATGCAAAATGTGGAGACATACCCTGTAGATTGATCGACCTTCATTTTGACCAATACCAATACGGACAAAGCAACCTTTCACTAGGTCTTCAAAGAATGGCATATGAACCCACCTAAACAGTGTTCAAATTAGTATTGTCAACTATGATTTCCCAATTGTTCGAGACTACTTCAGATAATTATGTACTAGAACAACATCAGTTGAATAGGTTTTCAAAAAACATCATTTTTCTCCAGTTTATTGATTAACTGCCTCACCCTGTTATGTACTGATAGTAATCACAGCGACTTCCTTACTTTTCCATTTTATGACGTGATAATCTAACTTTTTCCACGTCCTCCACGCTGCTGACTTTTTCTTCTGTTTCCTCCATTGCTCTAGGTGAAATAAAAAAAGCACAATTATACACATATTAGAATACAAGTATTCTTTTTGAGATTTTTAGGTTAGGTATGGCACTCTTAACTCTTGGGATGGACGTATCAGATTTCAGGACATCTAATTTTTAAAATTTCAAACATTTGAAGACCTTTTTATTTTACTGTCTTTATTAAAAATAAAATCATGGTTTTATTTAAAATCCAGAATGACTTTAGTTCATCAATTGGGTCATTCCAAGACAAAGATAAAAGGGATTGATGAAATGATCAAGCAGGTACGTATTAAAGTGTTGAGTTGCGGGGAAGGAGGGTGGGTGTATATTTCACTTAATCCTACTGAGGGCATACTGGGTAATATCCAGATGGGTCATGTCACCCCTGACAACTTACTCTTCATCACTCTCGTCTTCAGATGACGCTGCTTGTTCCACCTGCTCTTCCTGTTCCTCTTCAGCATCATCATCAGAACTATAAACCTCGTTAGTTTTCCATGGCTCTTTCTTCTCTAACAATGCCTTCTCTTTCTTCTCATGTCGCCTCTGTTTCAGTTCATTAAACGCCTTCACTTTCTTTTCTTCCATCGCTTTCTTTCTTCCACTTCGACTGAATGCAATCCCGCCAACACCATCCTTCTCGTTCACTGCTTTTTCCTTCTCCTTTTTCTTCTTTTCTTTCTTTTTTGCAAGTTTAAGTTTTTGTTTTATTTCCTGGCGAGTTTTCATAGCTTCTCTTCGTTCAAGACGATTAAAAATCTCCTGTTCACGTTCTTTCTCTGTCATTTTCTCCAATCTGTCTCGATCAGCTTGATCTCCGATGCAATATTCATCCAAACCGTCGTCAAATCCCTCATTTTCTTGTGATAATGACGATGAACCAGAATCAGAATCTAAGAAGAAAATATTTCTAATGGTTCAGTGGGCAATTTGGGCTCATTTAATAGGCTAGATCACCATACCATCAGATGAGTCTGAACTGGAGTCGTCAGTTTCACCAGATTCCGATGCTGGTTTCTTTGGTGGTTTTTTAGTGCCATTTTTCTTCACTTTTCCCTTCACTGGTTTGTCATCAATTGTCCACTAAAAAAACAACATGTAGTGGTCATGGAACAGCCATGGTTTCATAATTATAAAATAGGAAAAACAGTGTTTACAATATATTACGCTTTTTTCTGTGTTGGTGTAATGTACTCAGGTGAATATGATGCTTGTGATGTTACTCTGAGTGTATTCCAAAGGTCATAGGTTCGATTCCCACCGTGACCCGCCAGGCGTATTTTTCAAGCTTGCCCGGTGTGGATATACACTCAGAGTAACATCACAAGCATTAGATTACGCTTTATTGCACATTATCCGGCAATACAAAGTTATATTATCGGTAAAGCAATCTTGTTTCAAGAAATTCTAAGGGGCTTTTTCGCTTTGCAGCCTCTTTTAAGCTGGGGACCCGGGGCAAAATGCCCCCCCTCGGCGGCCCTGAGCCAGGGTACCATCATCACACAAGATGGGGTGCATCATCACTGAGAAAGCTTCGGTATATCCCGACCCTTACAAGGTCCAATGCCTGAGCTGGTGGTAGGAGAGGATCAATCTTAGATTTGCAAAAATTATGTTGTAAAGTAAAGTTGACTATGTAGAATGCTTTCATAATCTGGGAAGCCTCTACCTATCGACCCAAAAGATGATAAGGGAAATGCCACAAAGTTGGACAAACCCTGTGGTGAACGTTTACAGTGGTGAACACCACCCCCAAGAAAATCCATCATTGTTTTCATTGCAATATAAACTCGAATAAATATTTACATTAATGAGCAAAATAAACGAGTAAAATAAATAAATATTTTGCTGACTGCTTGATTCAAATAGAAGTGTCAAACAAATTCCTCCAATATTCAAACCATTACTAGAACCAGATTTAAAATTATCCAAACCTCGTCATCACTGCCTTCAGATGATTCACTGTCACTGTCCGATTCCGTGTTTTGTTTGGTAGGTTGAGGAGTAGACTCTTGCTGTTGAGTTCGAGCTCTCTTTGCAAGTGAAAGCAACTCCTAGGGTACAAGAATTTGGATTAAACTTAACTCTTAGTCTACTCTAATCTACTCTACTCTACCCTGAGCTTCTCTTCTAACAGTTAAAATAAATTAAACTTAATCTTTCCACTTTTCGAGCTGAGCACAAGACTGTATATAAACACTCTAATATACTAATTCTATATCAACTTTTATAAATATACAAGTTCAATTTTCTCCTTTTGGGATGCTTCCCAGGAAGGTAAACGTTTTAGAACCGCATACCTCTTCTAGGTCTTCGTCGCTATCATCACCATCGCTTTCAGATTCAACGACAACTCTTTTGCGTTTCTTTTTGGAGTCTAAATCTTTTTTCTTCGTAGACATTTCGCACAAAAACAAGATTCTTCGTGCAAGGACGAAGATTCTTCCTACGAAGCACGCAACTGAGCTCGCGTGGAATGCTGGGTACAAATTTGTATGCACAATTATTTTCTTTCAAAATATTTAGAAACAACCTTCAAATTTTCAAATATTTTTTCTATAAATTACAAATAATGCTACATAATGTAATCGTCTTTAGTCACAAAGTATTTTGGTGAATTAAAAATCAAAAAAAGACTGCAAATCATTTAATTTCATTTTCTTAGTTTCCAATATGGCGGACTTGTTTTCCTGAATTTTCATTGGTCAGTTTTTGTCAACGCTGCAATTTTTGCTTCCGCTTTCTTTGTCATCATGACGCAACAGCAAAACAAGGGGAAAGCCCAGTGTTGTTCCATTTTACAGTACAGCATTTGAAATAAATTCGTGAATGATGTGAATCTAAAGGGTTTTAAAGTGATATGATGGAATTATTAAACGAGAGTCGTGAAGTAGAAATGAAAGAGAAGACTATGACGGTTGACACAAGCTCAATTGATAATGAAAGGAAGCGAGGAATTTTATTAATTGATATCAACCACGAAAAGATGCAGGTCCATAGAATTATAGAAATAGTTTTTATAGTTCTGTTCTTGTGATCAATGTCTACTTTTGATAGGCGTGCTATGGGTGCATTGGTATAATCCAAAGCTGAAAGGGATTTGGAGTAATAACTTTTCATTTGTCAGCTAGTGCGCATTTAGTTATTCTCTCCCCCCCCCTGCATACTGTTTGTAGGGGCCCTTTTATAGCAAGTAGAAGCATCTGGCATGAGGCAGAATAATGAAGCTGGGTGCATCCGGATTAATAGATTACAGCCAACACATGCCGCATATTTGCCCCAGGCATTCGCTTATATATGTCATTATAGATCGTCATCATGCCCTCCCTAAATGTGTGATTTTAATTATTACCAGGTTGAAAACAAAGAGGATTTTGTCCGAAAACTAGCATGCCCTGAAGACGAGACTTTGAAAGTTGTCTCAATATTTGGCAATACCGGTGATGGGAAATCACACACTTTGAACCATGCGTTCTTTTCCGGAGAAGAAGTGTTTGCCACTTCAACATCACAAACCTCTTGCACGGTTGGCATCTGGGCTGCATATAACGAGGACAACCACTTGCTTATTGTCGATTCAGAAGGTCTACTAAGTACTTCAAATAATTCACACCAACGAAAACGTCTACTTATGAAAATACTTGCCATTTCCGACGTGATAATATATCGCACAAAAGCGGAGCGATTGCATTCAGATATGTTCAGTTTTCTTGGTGACGCATCTAAAGCATATCTGAAACATTTCTCACCGGAGTTGAAGGCTGCAATAGAAAGGGGACAGTTGAATTTACCCTTGTGTTCACTTGGGCCATCTGTGGTCATATTCCATGAAACTCATCGTACTGACGTTCTGGGAACTCAAAGCGATGATTTGGGTAATCAAAATTTGTGACTTTGTATAACTTTAGCCATTTCTTGCCTGCATGCAGTTGGGCAGTCATTCAGCCAGTTTGTCTCTGTCATTCAGGCAGGCATCAGTCAGGCATTTAGTAAGTTGATTAGTCAGTCAGATAATTGATAAGTTGATTAGTCAGTCAGGCAATCAGTTGGTTGATCAGGTAGCCTGGTAGCCAGTTGTTTGATTGGTTGGTGAGGTAATCCGTAAGTTTGCTGGTCAGTCAGGCAGCCAGTCAGACAGACAGCAGTCGATCAGGTCAGTCCATTTGTTGGCAGTCCAGCAATGAATCAGTTGGTTGGTCATAACTCAGTATTGGTCTTCCAGTGAGTCAGTCTGACAGTCATTTGAGCAGTTAGTTGATCAGTCTATCTGGTTGTCAGTCGATTGTTGGTTGGTCAATCGGCTGGTCTCCCATTGAGTAGTCTGTTGGTCATTCGTCCAATTTTACCAATCTTCTATTACCAACAGGTGAATCCAAATCAGCTGATGAAATATTGAAAGAAAGATTTGCAGATGTTGGGCGTGATCCACAAGCATTTAGTTCAATAAAATACGTGGGCACCAAGACATTGAGTGACAACACAAATTTTCAACAATTATTTCAGACAGTGATTGAGCTTACTAATGACACATCCGTACGTTCTCGGCGACCAATTGGAGTCATTTATGATGTATTAAATGTAAGGGTACATTCAGATGAAATACCGTTTCAGAGACTCAAAATTAAAAAAGAAGCATGCCCCTGGACCCGTCCCAGATTGAAGGGACAGAACAATTGTATTGTATTGCCTGAAAATACTTAGCTACCCTCTCATAGATCTTAGCTTCCTTGTCGGGGAATTCCTGGGCCACTACTATATAAAGAAAAGAACTGACAATTTAAATATTAGCCATTAAACCATCACCTGCTGACTAGGGCCTTCCCTCAAAACGTCGAAGTTCTCCTTATTCAAGCAGTTGCATTCCTATCAATCCGAAGCTTTTGTCTTATTGAATCATGACTAACAGCTCTACAGCTTATAATCTGCCCAGTTGTCACTGCTATATGTCGATGTTGAAGACGAGAAACATTTTCTATTTTAATCTTTTCCAGCACCTCAATGAAAAATTCAAAGGTGAAATTGAGAATGTGGTCCCAGACACCTTCCCAGATTCATATTTCACTTGCTGGACACACTGTCAATGTTGCAGGTACGTAGCCATGAACGCGTTTCTGAAACCCTCCTACCAAATTCATACTTTCAGTGCTTGAAAAATTTAGCAATGTTTTATTTTACAGGACAAGGTGTGAAGGAACCATGAATCATAGCCATGATGGAACTGCTCACAAGTCGGAGAAAAGCTGTCTTTATGTAGCACAATTTGATAACAGATATTTCACTTGTAATGTACGTAAAAAATTAATCATTTTGAAGTAAATTTATTCACACTAGATAGCTCTAGCAATTCTAAACGTTCTTCCTAGAGGCTAAGTAAGAGGCACTTCTTACTAACACATTGTCACTGTAGGAGAAGTATACAACTACACAGGTAAAAACGCACAAGTTGTAACAAAGCTGCAGCAGACTTGTAGCAATGCTGTTCCAATGGTTCCAACAACTTGTCAACAGGATGTGTTCCCACTGCTTGTTCCCAGCTTGTGGACAAGTTGTCAACGGCTTTGTTGACAACTTGCTACAAGGTTGTTGAGCTCAACACTCAACAGACTTGTTACAAGTTGTTCCAACAACTTGTTATCGTCCTGCAATTCAACAATTTGTCAACAAGTTGTGAGTGACAACCTTGAGCAACTTGATATAATAACTTGTTGACAAGCTTGCTACAAGCCTGTTGCGAACACATCTTGTTGACAACTTGTGAGATTTTTACGTGACAGTGTACCTGAAAAATATAAGCAGAATTTCGACGTTTCGAGCAAGGGCCCTTTTTCGGGAAGTTAGTATTAGCAGGTAGTTGTATATCTCTCTCACTCCATGTGCAGCTGTTCAAATTGGAAGCAACAAAGCACTTTATGTATAAATGTTTAGGCATGTTATCAACGTGGAAAAGAAAACCTAGTGATTGCCAACACATACGCCGCTGGTGATGGTTCTTTGAAAGGACTGGCCACTTACGCTTGGTCAGGGTAGGTGTCATTATTGTACTTAGTAGTTCAACTTTGCCTACCCCTGTCAGTTCCAAGCTGTTCTCCCAAGACGTCCAGTAAAGGCCACTCCTTATTAATCCAATGTTACTATGGGTAATACTGGAATACTCGGAGAAAGCATGTGGTGAATGAATGATTAATGAAAGACTTTATTTTACGAGGGTAAACACTAAACAGTAAAACGGATGAACTTGTGGCCCTCTAAAATGACGGTCAGTGGTGTTTGGCAGAGTAGAAAGGAGAAGCACTCTTCTCACATGTATGCGAATGAGGTTATAGTCAGACAGCTACACATTGCAGGAATCTAAGTCCAGTTGAAGAAATGGACATACACTAACTATCATGACACTTTTTCAAAGGTACGTTCTTGAGTGCGCAGAATGTGGTGTAATATACAGAAGTCGTAAGTACTGGTATGGAAACACTGATCCAGAGAAGACCGTTGTTAGAACTCAATTGAAACACATCTGGGAAGGTGTAAGTCAACTTTTGTAATAGAGAGCTTTTCACGTTACTTCCAGTACACAATCCATGCACGATTTGTCATTTGCGCGCCATTACAAATCCCTCTAGAATTTGCTGACGTCATTCATAATCGTGAAACTTTAGTTACATACAACCGATTCTCCAGAGTTCACTTGTGACCAGCTATTTGTTCGATGTATATATATCAGTTAAAATACTCATTAATAATTTATGAAGAAAATTCAAAAGAAATTAATGTTTAATCAATCTTTGTAAATCGGATAAAAATTTGTTCTCATTTACATGAACTTCAACTATGATTTTCTCGGCTTAGACAATGTTTATTTTTAAAATTACTTCGCGAATGAACTCGTAAGATGGGTCGTATTTTAAGCACGTTAAAACATTCGCATCCAATCTTTATCTGATGTACAAACTCTCGTCTTCGGCTCGAGTTTGTATATCAGATAAAGATCGGCTGCTCATGTTTTAACTACAGTACATATATATTGTTGCAAATCTGAGTTCGCGTCGGCTTGGTTGTCTTGCGATACAATTAGCAAATGTAATGAACACAAAAATAGACGAAAATTGTACGATGCAGGCTCGTGCAGCACTTTCCTTGCGATAGTAACTCCTAGTTCATGATGTCTGTCCTGTTTAGGAACACTATGGAGACGTAAATCACACAGGACGTCGGGTTTTGGACGGCTTGAATCTTGTTAAGCAAACTGTCGATGTAGTCAGCGAAGTGCCATCAAGATATATTAAAGACTTGGTGTCAGACGCAATTGCACCTGGATATTGGGTGCCAAATTCAGAAATAAAGGTCTGTCGAGTGTAATGTATATCCTTCAAAAACTCATTAATTCATGAGGAAAACATTTTAAAGAAAAATCATAAGCGTGTCGTATCTTTATATGTGATAGAGATTTCCCTTGATTTACATAAACTTTGATTTTCTCGACTTACACAACGTATTTTTTGAAAATTACTTCGCCAATGAACTTACCAGATCGTCATCGATCGCTTTTGAAGCAATTTAAAACATTCGCAGTGCGTGCATGTTTTATCAGACCTAAAGATACTCGGCTTCGCCTCGTATCTTTATATCTCATAAAACACTACTGCTCATGTTTTAAATAGTACATAAGCCATGAGCGACCGTGTTGTATAGAGCGAAATAGGGCAATTTAGGGCAAATACATGAATTATAACTAGAAATTACGAAAGGACATGTAAATTGAAATATTTTTTCTTAATGACGATAGGAGTGTCATAGTTGCCAACATATATTTACAACGTCTGAAAGGAAACATCACTGTCGTGCCTGCGGTCAGGGTTTCTGTCATGATTGCTCCGACTACATCATGCCTGTGCCTGACAAAGGATGGGGCAGTGCGCCCGTGAAAGTTTGCGAAACTTGTGTCCAGGAAAGAAAGACATCGGAAAACAGCGTGGGTGTTGAAGGAGAGGTGGTGGTGGTGGATATGAGGTAGAGAATAATGCGTTATGAGGGAAGGGGCACTATATTTCAGGAGGAGAGGTGAAGGGGAAGTATTAGGGGGGGGGGGGGAGTAGGACCCTAGGCATGAGCTCATTTCTGTAGCTCAGTGATCAACGCTGCACCGGAATATATCGCTGGTTGCAGGACGCATGTTCGATTCCTGTCGGAGGCATTAAAAATACATTTTGTTTTGTAGTGCTTTAAATGATGCCCTTGATGAGGAAGACCAAAATTCAGGCAAGGATGACCTGCGCGCCCGCAAGGTTGGAGAAGTGTTACACAACTCCGTGAGTAAACTGGCACTAGTAGTGGACTTCCCAAGAGAAATAATCAACAATGTTGCACGTCCATCTTACTGGACAGCGGATGCCGATATAGTGACATGCTCATGTTGCGATCACAAGTTTCGCATCATAGACTCGAAACATCATTGCCGCGCCTGCGGACAAGGTGTATGCGGTAAATGTTCAAGTAAAAAGCGCGCGGTTCCTGCAAGAGGGTGGGACTATCCGGTGAGAGTTTGTGATAAGTGTGTCGAGGAAATGTCGTAAAATACACTAGTCACAATACAAGCAACGCCGAATGATAATGAACTTCATAAAAGCTGAAAACTCGAAATAGTTCACACATATATGGACTATATAGAGTCCATATTCCAGTTCTCGCATCTCATTTGGAAAGTATTGCCCCAGTTTTATGTGGGGCGAGTTGATTAGCCTGCAGAAACCAACAGATAGGAATGCGAAGACGGATTGTTGAAAGTGTCAAGATAACCCAGTGCCTGTCAATCTCGTACCCAGAGCAATGTCTGTGCGCGGACGAGGAAGGCATTGGCTCTGGGGAAATAGACAACCGGAAACCCTAAATTTAGGGGTTCCGGTTGTTGTCTGCATGCACTATTCCAGGGTTGCCAGATTGCTGAATAAATAAGCCAAATATTATTATAATAACCTTTTGTTTTCTTTGTTGGAAACAAAGACATCAACGGGACGCTTATAACAATGTTTGGCTTATTTATTCAGCAATCTGGCAACCCTGCACTATTCATAAACGTTAAACCAATCACAGCACGGGAAAAATTCTATTTCCCCAGAGTCAATGTCTCCCTCGCCCGCGCACAGGCAGTCTGGGTACGAGATTTGCCAATCTCGTTCCCCGAGCCTGCGATCGTCGGGAAGGAACGTGAGGCTCTGGGATAATCCGTTGCCGGAAGCCAGGAATACTGGCTAAGACTGAACTGCGCATTCCATATCAACGGCCAATCATATTCCTCCCTGAAACGGATTATCCCAGAGCCTCACGTTCCTTCCCGAGGATCGCAGGCTCGGGGAACGAGATTGGCTAAGTGCATGAATGACACTTCAAATGACACACAGTTATTTTAATTTAGCAGAAATGCGCCCCAATTTTAACTGAATAGATAATTTATGTATATGGACAAATTTTATCACAAAATATTGTATTTTTTACGATACGAGTGAGAAAAATAATTAACGGTTATGAAATTAAGGATAGTGTTATGTAAAATTTAATATCAGCCAATCAATGTGTTTACCCATAGACTGAAAGTTATATTTCAATCTTCATTGTATTGTGTGTGAATGAATAATTAGTTTGACTTTAACATCACTTCGTCAAATATTCATGATGCAGAAGATAAAATGATAGATAATGGAACAGATTCTACTAAATAATTCTTCAATGAAAAATGAGCTTCAAGCCGGTGCTAGCTTGCACCGGCCACCGCTGTTCTTTTGTTTTCCGCCGTATGAGTTTTTTAATTACCGCTCCCAGAACTGAATTACTTTAGTCTTTATCATCATGAAAATTGTGTTTGCAAACAGCGCTTTTTGTAGGGTTCCAAAAAACAAAAGACTAATATAAAAACTTAGAATGGGGTCAATTTTTGTTATAAGAAAGCATAAATTTTTAATTATCCAATCTTCAACAATAACCTGCATGAGCAGCTGTCTTCACAATATTATACACTTAAATGCTGGACATCGCATCAAGTCAGCACACGAATTTTTTTCATTGAATTTGTTGCCACAATTTGTTGAATTTGTTTGTAGACCACATATTAGATCAATGGATTATTAAACGTACGTTATCTAACATGGTCTGAGTTGCAGGACAAAATTTCAGACATCAAAGGTAAATATACTAGATTAAAATCTTAAGAGGAACTGGCTATCTGTCGGGCTAGAGCAAATATGAAGTGTATACCAAAGATCAGCTGCTATTTGCATATGCAGTATCTCAGCAACGACGCGACGTTATACAAGTATATTTTGACATTTATTCACAGGCATATGTTCCTGTTGTTGACTGTATAAACACAGTTATTCCGAGAGGGGAAGAGAATCAGCCAAAAGAGTCTAAATTTGCTTCCTTGTTTACGTATAAGGACGGTTTTCGCCAAATTTAATTGCTGTTTAAAAATTTGAAAGGTCGGTATATTTTACTAGTATGAATAATAGAGATTATATTTAAGACCGATTTCCACCACACAACTTTTGCCTAAAACTGTCGCATGCAACCTGCTTACAACTGAGTTGTACTGTGTGTAAATCAAGCTCGCAACTCACCTGCGACTAGTACAACACAGTACAATTCAAGTACAGATTCACAGAGTACAACTCAAGTTGTAAGCAGGTTGCATGTGATAGTTTTAGGCAAGGTTGTGTGGTGTAAAATCGGCTTTCAGGTTGAAAGAGTCATTGATCGGGAGTAGTTTAACGCAAGCGAACTATAACTTGAATATACCGGGTGGCCCAAAAAAAAGTACTCCTGTTTGATTCGTAATAACTTCTAAACAAGTAAAGTTTTTAAAGAGAAATAACTTGCATTAAATAGAGGAAGGACTAACTTAGATTTAGATATATTACAGTTGTATTTAACTTAAAAATTCACGGAGATATTAATGTTAAAAATGGGGAGCATATTTTGGAATGTGTCTAAAATTAGCGAAAATCGGCATATCAAATATTAACTCCAGCGTTCGTTTGCTTAATGACATATTAGGCTAACTTGTATTTCAGCGAATTATCGTTAAGGTTTGTAAGGGATATGGCGTAGATTTAGACATCTTACATGTAAGTCTTAGCTCATTGTTTCCTGAAATATGAACGTTCGAAATTATGCAAGTATTTAATATTAGGTCTTTGCAAACTTAAATGTACATGAAAGACTGACCATGGAAGGCAGGCGCTTAAATTTTTCGTATTCTTAAATAGCCTAATTTTTTATGTTTTTAATGGGTTCAAACAGACTGAGTAGATTATTTCTCGGTTAGAGCAGGATGAATATTCTTTATTGAAGGAAATAATATTGCTTTTTGCAAGTACACATCACCGTATCAACGCTACTATTTTGTTACGTTTTGTTCCAAAAATGTTGCATGTCTCTGGGGAGTTGCTTAATTGTTATGTCTTATGGAGTTGTATGGTTTGATTGTGTTTCATATAATTCTCAGTTTACTCCATGAACTTGCCAAGATTAAGAAACGGCAAAAGAGTTTTGGTGTTCTTAACAAGATTTCAGAACGTTGCAGAAGTTAGAAGAGCTTCACAATTCCGTTGTGACAGCATGCCCTAATTCAGAACTTCGAACGATCCAATGACGAT